TCCATTCTTGCCCTCGTGCTGCAATAGCACCCTCTTCATGTCTTTGCTACCCGACTCGGCACAGACGGCCCAGACCTTGCTTGGTGCTCCCATTCCCCATTCTGGCTTGTTTCCGACCGTTGCCAACCTCTCTCTCGCTCATGTGCCCTCTGTCTCCTGCTGGCGTGCCCCATCATGTGTAGGATCTCTGAAGCCTTTGGCCAACTTGCCAAGCGAGCCAACGCGCAACTTTCATTGAAAAAAATCTTTTTCATTTCGTTCTTTCTGCTTCCTATCTGCTACGCCCCTCTGTGTGTTTCTTGCTATTCTCCAACTTGAAACCCAGCGACATGGCGCTGCGCGCAACACCTCCCCCAAGCAGCGGCAACCTGACCGAGCACGTCTATCAGACTAGCGCCCCAGACGAAGCTTTCACGTCGACCTCCAAGAGCACTTTCCGCGGAACCGCCGAGCGCCGCCCAGATGCCCGTCCAACAAGCAACACCCGACACAACAATCCCCAGTCAAAGTCTTTCAAGTCTCAAATGCTTCCCTCGGGCGAAGTCATCAACGTCTCCGTTCGTACCGACGTAGACGGTGCGTTGCCTCGAGTTTTTTGTACACACACACATACACACACACACACACACACACACACACACACTCATACACATACAGATATGCGCCCACAGAGTTGGGGAGGGATCATACTTCTTTTAGTTGCACAACAAGTTGCGACCTTCTCCAGTCGGGTTGTGACTTTTTTGTCTCACGCTTCCTGTCTTTTGCCCCTTGGCGTTTTCGACATGTCTCTAGGCCATGGCGGTGTGGCATTGGGTGCTGCTGGTGCCAGCGAGCCCGCGTCTTCGTTTGACATGGATTCTACTTTTCGGTCATCTTTCAAAAAGCCCACCGTGGAACCTTGGCAGCAAAGTACCACCTCTCGCTTTGGCATGAGCCAGCAACCCTGGGCTTCCACGCACCGTCGTGCCGTCGGCATTGTACCGTCAGCCAATCCTACCCAGCTGGATGCCACCGCCACCACCACCACCACCAATACCGATGCTTATGCCACCGGTACCCAGTTCCACAGCCGCTTCTCCGCCACCAGCAGTCGTCGGGCCCCAACGTCCGTGGACGAGGAAGCCCTTGAGGTACTGCGCTCAGTCGTCAAGGAAGATGCCATGCCCGCCGTCGAGTCTTGGCTCCGCTCCGCTCCCGGCTTTGAAGGAGAGGTCGTCAAGCGCATGATGACCTCGGTCTCCCGCGCTGTCACCCCGGCCAGCGTGGACTCGGGCCTCGCCGATCCGTTTCCTGCCAGTGGTGATCGAGCGGCTACCCCAGACATGGCCGCCGTCTCCAAATGGGGTGGGCCCGTTTCTAACATTGTCTAAAGCAGCAAACAATGCATGATGCTGCCCACGTTTGCTGGTTACATCTTTCTCCCGCCCAATTGGCGTCCCGAGACCCCTCGACCAAGTTTGAGCGTTTGTCGTTGTGCTTTCCCCGTACTGTTGCCTTCCTGGCCCCCGCTCTCGCTCGTGTTTCCGTGTCACATCACGGACACGTCCGTTGTGCCTGCTACAAGAATATCAAACCCCAAAAAGCAAAACTCAAAAAAAGATTTTTTTGTTGTCGCATCAGGCGAGAAAAATCCGACCCATCATGGATTGGTGGTGGTGATGCCTGAACGCGTTCCATATTGATGTTTCTCTCTGCTTTTCCTCGGTCGACCTCTCGCGTGTAATGGACCCCTACCCTGTCTTTTCCGTTCCGTGTGTGTGTTGTCTTTTTCCTTCAGCAATCGATTCCCCTTTTTCCTGCATCTTGGGGGACTTGGCACACCAAAAAACAACACTTGGCACGTCGACTTTGGTTGACGAGAAAACATGGAAAACCCAACACAACATTTACATCATCATGCTGGCAAAATGAGTTTTGCCTGCTCCCGGGTGGATGGTTTGCATTTTGCCTGTGAGCTATATTGCGGTAAGAAACAACAGCAGAATGAGGATGGAAAGCAGCAGAGCAAATGGGACAAAAAAAGAACAGCGCTAAAGTCTTAGTGAGCCTCACCCATACCTGCTTGATGGCATCACAGGCCTGAGTCATGAGGGCCAAGAGGTTAACTGTCTCGGTGTCTGTACTTTCCATCAGCAAGGCTGCCCGCAATCGTGGATCTTGGCTGACAGGTAAACGAGAGCAAATGCCTTTGATATTCCGCAGCAGCGCTGGGGAAGGCTGAACTTTGCCTACAGACCGGTAAAGACAGCACCAAAAAAACAACCACAATTTCACATCAATGTCACGCAGTCACCATGGTACATCCAATGAAAGGAAGGGGCGGGGGGTAGGGTCTGACAGACCCGCGTCAATGTCAGCAAGAAAGTCGCAGATGACGTCGATGCGCTCTTGCAGCATGAGGAGTGCGGACGCATGCGTTTGCATCTGTTGTCGCACTGTTTCGGGAGCAAATGGGTCGTCATGGCCGCCGATCAGGGCGTGTGTGCAGGCTCCAACAAGCAGTACAAGGGTGGTTGCGTACCAGCGCTTATTTGGCCGCCCACTGCCGAGGCAGACACGTTGGCAATGTGGTCAACACCTGCGTGTTGAGAGAAAGCGAGCCACAAAATGTGAGAGCATGACACAAGCTGCATACAAGAGAGGCCAGGAAACGCATGGGCTCTCCCTCCAGCGTACCAATTCGCTCTGCTTCCTCCGAGGCGAGCTTGTAGGGCGTGGGGGCAAAGTGAATGTGTTGCTGTCCGAGTGGTGTTTGCACATGTGAGGAGGGTGACAGACAATTCTCGACATCAGATGAACCTGCACATGACGAGTGCCAGGGAAAACAACTCGACTGACCTCATCATCTTTCAGCTCGACAATCGTTTCAAATATGGTAATGGGCAGTTGCTCGCGTGTCGCCTGAGCTTGATCATCCAGCAGAAGAAAGAAGGGGGCTTCATTCAAACCCAGAAGCTTTGGAGGAGAAGGAGATTGGAGGCGGGGAAATTGTACAAAGGATAAAGCCAAGGGTGGCAACGACATGCGTGAGATGGGTCAGCTGCAAAAATGCCAAGACCACTTTCACCAGAGCTGGACATGGTAGTAGGGTCAAATGTGGATGCTCCTGCACACACCTGGCGATGCAAGGCCAGATGATCTGCAGTCACGTGAGAACCGGTGGCATACCAGCCGAGGCAATCCTGGTCTTTGAAAATGCGCTTGACTGCAAGGGGCACGGTCAAGCCAGTGAGCACGGCATCGGGGGAAAAGAGCAAGCAGGGCTGGAAGCACCCAAGGCAGGCACGGGCCACGAACAGGCTTCGGTGCGGGTATTGAGAAAGTCAAGATCCCAAATGCCGTCTGCGAGCAAGAGCTCAAAGCTGTTGAAGATTTCTACCACGCGACCAGCCTGTTTGCCAAACAAGGCACCATAGGCTATTGGCACCCGCATGAGTCAGAGATGGGTCTGAGGGTGAAAGTATGCTGAGCAAAGATGGCTTGCATGCAGGGGCGGAGAGCAGCAAAGGAGTCGGTCTGGGCCAGGACCGTACCAGTGACATTGTGCGACTTGGCCTCGGCTCGCCGCCGGGTCAGGTGATCGGATATGTTGAGAATGACGAGCGGATGCAACAGCGCCGAGAGGCCACCATCACTGGCCACGACAAGCAAATCATCCACATCCATGGTGGTTAAGGCAATGACAGGCCGATATCAGCTGCAAGAAGACATGCACACAAAAGAGAAGGTGCTTATGAAGATGAGACCAGTACATGATTCACTAGCTCTGGACATGGCCCAAGGTGAACAGGTGACTCTTCTTGAGCAAGCGCTCGCCAGACGGGCTCCGGCAAGTCATACCTGCTGCCAGTCGGGAGTCTAATCGATGCACAAACACCCTGGTTTATTCCAATCGCAGACACACAACTTCCAAATCCCGTCGCGCGTTCCCTGCATTCAAAGCCTCTTCCCCCTGCACCCTGCTCTCGTCCTCGAATCGTCCTCCGTATCCAGTGTGTGTTCCGGTCCGGCGCGCGCGTCCAAAAATGCGTCAACCCAGAAAAAAAAAGCCGAGAGCTGGAAATTAAAAACCGAGGGGTGGAGAAGCATCTGACAATTTGTGAGTGTGCGAGTGTGAGTGTGTGTGAGTGTCAGAGTGTGTGTGTGGGTGTGTGTGGGTGTGTGTGTTCAGCTGGGCATTTTACAACACCAGTTTTTAGCAGTAAAATCCAACAACTGTTTCTACCACCTGTTCAAGATGGCACGCGGTCTCGCCAAGCAGCAGTCCAAGGACAAGGCGGCCAAGAAGGCAGCCAACAAGGCCAAGTCGGTGGGCCACGATCACAAGGCTGCCCGTGAGGCCCAGCTCAAGCTTGTCTGCGCCGTGTGCCGGGTAGGTTTGTCGTTTCATTGGTTGTTGTTTGGCTGGCGGTGGTTGTTTGGCTGGCGATGAACTGCGGGTATGCCTTGTGGGGTACAAGCAACTGTCAGCCAAATGCAGCCACCACGATTGGAAAGGGGTGGGGAGGGCTCAGCGCAAGCTTCGTGAGGCGTCAATTTGCACGGCAGTACAGCATGTTGTGTACATGTGTACCCTGTGATGCGACAGTCACGTTCAGAGGGTGCTAGCTGTTTTTTTGATTGTGTGGCCGCTGGCCGCATGGAGGCCACGCGGTCCTTGCGGTCCTTTTGCACCTTTGCTCATCACCACGTGCCGCTCTGTGATGCTCCTAGTCTCAACTTTCGGATGCGAAGACTTACAAGTCTCACTTTGAGGCCAAGCACCCCAAGGCCCCGATGCCCGAGGAGCTGAAGAACATCTAAGATGCTGAAGCAAGCCCTTCTCTCTGCCAGAATGATTCTTCATTTTGATCGGGATCGTGCCCATGAGGGTGTTGGTGGCGGTCATTCCTTCCTCCCCATACCTTCACACGGCATTTAGGGGATCCGCAGTGCTTTCCCGCTTGACCAGAATCGATCTATTGGCGGTTCTCGCCGTTTCGTCGTTGTTGGTTCAACCGTGAAGCTGCTGCTGCTGCTGCTGCTGCTGCTCTTGCTGTTGATGTGGCTTTGTGTGTGTGTGCGCGCGCAGGTGGTTGCTCGCGCCCCTTGATGTGTGTTGGCGTCTATCGTTTCCCATGGTTGTTGCCGTGATGACCTTTGGCCATGATTTGTGTCTTCTTGGTCATGCTTGCCCCTGGCGTGAGTCATGAGCACTTCTCTGACATTGTATGTATCCCTTTCCCCTTGTGGCTCGACCATTGCCGTCGTTGCCACACCTGGGTGCTTGATGTTTCTTCTTGTGCTCGTGCTTCACCTCTTTGGCTTTGTTTTCGTGTTTTGTGCGCTGTCCTTTGCGACCCTTTTTTTTTTTTATCATGTGCTGGTTAGCCCTCTGGATGTGCTCGCCCATGCCTGCTGGTTTTTGTGGGTTTGGGTGAGCAAGCGGTGACGCCGCTTGTCGACTTTGGTTTTTGTGTTGTTTTTTGATGTCCTGTTTGTGTGATGCTTTGACCGTCGTGCCCAAGACGCGCGAAGCGCCCGTTTTTGGCCTCTGCAGTCTTCTTGGCCTCGTTGCCCCATTCTTCCAATGGCTACATCTACCAGCCCACCCCAATTGATAGATTCTCTGAACCATCATCAGACCCTTCCTACTCGCACCGCACCGTCTCAAGAATGGATCGACGTCCGTCCAAGCGCAAGAGAAAAG